TTCTACATGGTTTAGACCAGGGATGGCCAACTGTTTTTGCCTCCGGGCCGGTTGGAAAAAAATTATTTTCACGGGCCGGACGAAATATTAAAATTGAAAAATAGTAGTATAGCTAGGCCGGTTCTAACCCAGGAGCTCTGAGGGGGGAGTGGGGGAGGGGGCGAGCGGGAGGGGGCCGGTAACATAGTACATACGGTCGGTAAGGTAGGATGTAATTGTTACCTCCGGTCGGTAATTATCAGTGATCGGTAAAAAAGAAAACCGCAAATTTTACATGTAACAAAATAAGCGCGTAAGGGTGGGGGAACCGTCCTCTTCGCGCGCAGGAGTTGGGGCATCATTGCGGGTCCCGTGGGTTCCCCCTCTTTCTCGCGCCCAAGTATTTTCTTCCTCGCACTCATGCCCCGGTTACCCGTGCAACATATAATATTACATTACAATCTTTGACGCAGAAGATCCAAAAACCAACCATTCATCCAAAACATCCCCCACTCTTTATCAGACGGACAAAAAAATGCTGAAACAACAAATCTCTCCTCCCACACACATTTCCCTTTCTTATCCGCAGTTATTTTTAGCATACACACCTTTGCGTAGCGCCCGTGCGATCTTATTTTCTTTATACGTAATACAAATTCATAATAACAATAATCTCGTAATACCCTCGAGAACTAGGAATAAACCTAGGAATAAACCACCGTAGCATCGCTGGAAGAATTTCAAGAACGGGATAGCGGATGGGTGCTGTCGCGTATACACAATTTAATTGTTAACGTGAATAAATATATGCCGCTGCATGCTGGATGTACCATACAATTACCGCGAGAAATTCAACTAAAGAGAGCTGTAATCAACGTATGCTCGAACGACAATGAATGTTTCGCGTGGTCAGTAGTGGCCGCTCTGCATGCAGCCGAAAGAAACGCATGTCGGGCATCGAAATATCCTCATTATTCAACGGTGTTGAATATCCAGGATATCGAATTTCCAATGAAATTGAACCAAATTAAAAAGTTTGAACACGTCAACAACATCTCCATCAACGTCTACACCACTGAAGAAAAAAAGGTTCTACCGATATGGCTCGCCACACGGAAGATGGAGAGACATGTCAATTAGCTGTATTTAGAAGGAGCAAACGGCGTGGGACATTTCGCGTGGATCAAAAACTTGTCTCGCCTCGTGAGCTCACAATTGAGTAAAAATAATTCTTTTTTAAATGTTATGTTTGAAAAAAATTTATGTCTTTTTATTGCAGATGCTTGCACTACTTTAGTTCGAGTGAGAAGCTGAAAGCTCACACCGTAGATTGTGAGAAGATGAACGAATGCGCAATCGTATTATCAGATGATGAAAGCAAGTGGCTCAGCTTCAACAACTACATCCGGAAAGAGCGACTTTCATTTGTGGTGTACGCCGACCTCGAGTGCATTCTGGAGAAAACTGATCGAGAAGCACCAAGATACACATACCAGCATCATAAAGTATTTAGTATTGCATATTATGTTCAATGCGCGTACGATTCACGAATTGTGTTTCCTGGTTCGTCGAAGAATTAAAGAATTTGGCACAATTTGTTAAATTAATTTTATCAAATAACATATAAATGGATGATTTAACGAGCGAACAGCAGGAGGTATTTCGCTACGCGACGCATTGTCACATTTGCGAAAAACCGTTTGGAGAAAACAAGACGAGGGTACGCTATCATTGCCATCTAACCGGTCGGTACAGAGGTCCCGCGCATTCCAATTGTAATCTAAATTATAAAAACTCTTTTTGCATTCCCATAGTTTTTTATAATTTGTCCGGTTACGATTCGCATTTTATTATCGAAGAAATAGCTAGAGCCTTCGAGGGTGCCGTCAGTGTATTGCCCCTAACAAAAGAAAAATACATCTCATTCACAAAAAGTGTCGAAGATCCAAATGGACCGTCGCGAAATTGTATAAAATTGAGATTCATCGATTCATACAAATTCTTGAGTACCAGTCTCGATAAATTAGCGTCTTTCTTAGATAAAAGCAAATTTAGAATTTTACGAACCGAGTTTCAATATTTGTCTACCGAAGATTTCGAATTATTGACGCGAAAGGGTATTTTTCCGTACGAGTACATTGACTGTGCCGAAAAGTTGGAACAATCATGTTTGCCATCGCGCGAATCATTTTACAGTTCCTTGACGGATGATACAGTATCGGAGAGCGAGTACGCGCACGCCGAGAACGTGTGGACACGGTTTTCCATTCAAACCCTTGGCGAGTATAGCGATTTGTATTTGAAAACAGATTTATTGCTGTTGGCCGATATTTTTAAAAATTTTCATGAAAGCTGTATCACAAGATACGGACTCGATCCCGCGTATTATTACACTCTGCACGGTTTTACGTCGGATGCTATGCTGAAGCATACAAAAGTTAATTTCGAATTACTAACAGATTGTCGAACGCGGTATACGCGGCGGATTAAGTCAATGTTCAGGTAGATACGCGAAAGCCAATAATAAGTACATGCAGTCGTACGATCCATCGAAAGCATCGTCGTACTTGATGTACTTTGATGTGAATAATCTGCATGGGTGGGCAATGTGTCAACCATTGCCATATGCAGAATTTCGATGTATTGGGCAATACACATGCAACATACAGGCACACCTCTCGTTCGGTCCATGACCAACGTCCTAGTACCGCCTATGAGTGTATTCCTGCCCTGTGGTCATACGGAATCCATCCGAAAGACGGTGATCCATCTTTTAAATCTCTATCCATTTCCAGACGCTGCCATCAGCGTCTGCCAATTCCATCATGGTGTGACCTCCATCACACGCATAATGCCCCATCGTAGTGTGACCTCCATCACACGTACAATGTTTCCAGAAATGATATGTCACCTTACCATTTCCTATCGGCTTCCAGATGCTGTCACCCGCATCTACCGATACTTATTGTGGTGTGACCTCCATCACACACACAATAACCAACTTCTCATGGCGCTCTGCCAGTTGAAGTATTGATGGGCAAAATAAACCGAGATCCCGCCTTCACAGGATTTTAAACTCAATATCTGGCTCTACAGGCTCGACGTCCACTACAACAGGTGCTCGGTCGGCCTCTACCAACGTCCGCTTACTGTAGCCCGTACCAGAAACCCTTTGAACGCCCATCAAGGGTTTTTCCTCGCTCCAGCGGTTACCTGCCCCGGATGCTCGATCAAAGTCCAGAGTCCCACGACTCTGTTACTCGACAGCCGCTACCCACGGCTTCATGCGATCGACCGCTACGACCGTCTTCGCTCGACGACCTCCTTTCCTCAGGTTCTCGACTTCGTACCGATCGTAATACAATACGGCGACAACTCGATACAGGCCTTTAAACCGTGCATGCAGCTTTCAACTGTCTCCCGTCGGCTGCTCGGTTGTAATTTCAATCATGACAACGTCCCCTTCCTGGAACTTGGTTGCCGCCCGTCGTTGTCGGTCGTATCTTTCCTTCTGCTTCCGCTGGTCCTCCGTGATGTGCTCCGATATCTTTTCTCGGAGTTCACCAAGGTCCATGCGTTCCACTTCACCTTTTAGCTCTTGCAGGATCCACCCTTCAGCTGGGTATCGCACCTTGCATCCAATCAGAGCCTCTAACGGCGTCATCCTGATGCCTTTATTGTGCGTATATTCAAAGTACATTAGATCTTTTTCACTTCCTGATCCCAATGCCCCGAATCCTTTCCTGCTATCGTTGCTGCCAGTGATGC